TATCTGCAAGGATGAGCTCTGCAGCTCTTCCTCCCCTCTATGGTGCTTCCGCTCTTCCTGGGGAAACTGAAGCAGTGAGGGGCAGAGATAGCCAATCTCTGTGTATTAATTTGTGGGGGCTGCCATGGCTGAGTGCCACCATTCCACTGGCTTAGGCAGTTGGAATGCATCTCTCACAGTTCTGGAGGCCAGAAACCTAAGGCCCCGGCACAGCAGCATCCTTCCTGCACAGGGCTTTCTTCCTGCCTTTTGTCTCTTCTGCCTCAACCCGTTTTCTCTGCGCCTACCTGTGTCCTGCTCTGTCTGTATAAGGATGCCAGCTACCCTGCTGTAAGGGCCCCGACAGCCTCCTTCTAACTTCATTCTCCCTGTAGCGACCCTAGCTCCCAACCGTCACATTCTGAGACACTGGGCATTAGGACTTCAATATATGAACTAGGGGACAAAATGCAGCCCATAACACCTGATCCTGAGCCAGAGAAGTCTTTTCTACAGAAGATGACAACAGGGACCAGGGACCAAGCATTCAGGTGCTTCCTGAGGCCCGAGACAGAGCAGAGCCACCCACGGAAGACAGGACCAAGCCTGTGCGGTTTGAAGGAAAGCTGGTGGGAGGAAGGGCTTGGGTCTGGGAGCAGAGTCAGGATGGGTTCAGAACCATGCCAGGGGCTGCAGTGGGCACCCTGCCTGGCGGAGGGATGAACACACATGCCAGATCCTGTGTGTGCATGCGCGTGGGTGGGTGTGTTTGCATGTACCCACTCCCCGATCAAAGTGAAGGTTACAGGCAACTTCTTTGTATGAGTGTGTCCAAGGTGGGTCCAAATAGTCACTTCCACCCAACTCATCTCTGAAGCCCCTCTCTTCATTCGCCCCTCACTGCCTTTGGGCCTGGCCTGATCTCTGTCTAGTTTTTGTGTTGATCCCACCAACCTGCCTAACCTTCCTTCATGCAGGCTTCAGGCAGCTGCTTCTCCCCAAGCTCATGTCAAGCTCCACGATGTGCAGTGGCCCCAGCTCAGGGCTGAAGTGCAGGTGGCATGTGAGTTAACATGCACATACTCAAACCCAGGCACGTGCTTAGATAGACAGGTACACAGTGTCCCTGAAAACCTGCATTTTCTTTCTGGCTGCAGAACAAACAAGTTGGACAGCAGAGACTAATTAGTGTGAGGGCCTTGGGGACCCAACCTCCTCCACTCACAGGGGGACCTCGGGACCCCAGAAAGATGGAATGATGTACAGGGGTGCCAGGGGTGTGGTGCTGTGTTTCTTAATGACATAAATATGAAAGTTAATATTTCACCGTCTTCCCTGGCTCCCCTTTTAGAATTGTAGCTGCTTCCATAATATATGTACTTCCTCATCAGAAACTCTTTGTCCTCTTCTGCAATGTTGCTGAAAGGGGACAAGAGCCACTAGGGCCCAGTGCCAGGAACCCTCTCCAGTGGCCATCCAGTGTCCTCTTGGACACCTTGTTGATGGGTTCCTTGCTGCCCTGCATCCCAGTCAGTGACAGGCAGCTCATCAGAGAATCTCGTTCTCCCAGCAAGCATCGGTATAGAACCTACTATGTGCTGGGCCTTGTTCTAAGCTCCAGAGTTGAGCAGCAAGCAAAGCAATGGCTGTGTGGGCATGCAGATCCATTCTCAGTGGGCACCAGCCGCAGACACGTGCATTTCATATGAAGTTGGGTGGTTGTGATTGCCCTCAAGGAAACGAAGCAGGAAAGGAGCTGGAGAGAGACCGGGGGGATGGGAGGGGCTATAGACAGGGTGGCCAGGGAAGATGCCCTGAATAGACTGTGAAGACAAAGAGGGATGTGTGGTTTCAAGAGGAGAAAGTTCAGGGTGAAGGGAAGCAGACAGCTGAGGCCCCAGGCAGAGACACTGGCTCAGCACATCTGGAGAGCAGCAAGAGCAGTTTGGTCTCCAGCCTTGGGTTTGCCAGACCAGCTCTGCACCCCAGGAAGCAGAGGGGGTGTGCGCGCAGATTTCCCCAGTCCCTTCCTTCACGCTCCTCTGAGTCCGGTGCCCATCTGGTGGCCTCCACCCCCACTGTACCCCCGAGGGGTCCAGATGGTCAGCCATCAGCTTAGAGAGGGGGCAAATGAGACTAAGTGCCACTTAGCAGCCTCTGGGGGCTCCCGGGGATGGCTATGCAGGGCAGGGTCAGTGTTCTGACCTCCCTCGCCCCACCCTGCATTGTGAGCACTCACAGCCTGCCAGATCTCAGTTGCCCTTCTCCAAGCACAACGGACAAACATGGGTCTTCAGCCCAGACCCAGTACCCATAGGCCCTGGAATCCCCCATGTGAGCAGAGCCCACCTTCTGCAGTCAGCTCTACAGCTCCCAGAGCATGTCCTATTTCTTAGTCCCTTGGCCACTGTCAACATCCCACTGAGGGAGGTGAAGCTGAGGCTCCAAATGGGAAGAAACTTTCCCAGGGAGCCTGTGGCAGAGAGAAACTTTGACCTGGAGTGTGAAGCCTCTGCCTGCTTCTTGCTTCCTGCCAACTCCCTGGCTCAAGACATTACCTGGATTGGCTGGGCCCTATCAGCAGGTTGTAGGGATACGGCCTCAGGTAGAGGGATAGCCATCTAGGCACCAGGCAGGACAGTCTCCTCTCTACAGACAGCTTCCTGACTCCGTCGCAGACTCCAGCATCCACCTCTGCTCCAACAACAGCCAGGCTTCTTGCAAGCTGCAGCAGCACCTCCTGAGCAGCAGCAGGGCAGCCAGGGGTGATGGGCCACCATGAAGACCAGGGGCCCTGCGGGTCCTGAGGGCTGCTCAGCAGGAGCCCTAAGGCGAAGAGATGAGACAGAGGACCACTCCTCTCAAGGTGAACCTATAGAGCCTTTGCAGCACCTCAGGCCAATTGCCTTGTTTTTGAATAAGGAAATTAACCTGCAAATACTTAAAACAGGATAGAGACACTGGACCCCTGAGAACAGAGAATTCTTAGTTCACTGCCCTGGTGAGTAATTGGGTATGGACGTTTGGATGCTGTCAACATTCAAGTGACAATGGTAAAATGATGAATATGCAAGGACTGCATGTAATCTTTAGCACCAACCTATGGTCTCCTATTTGAGACAGAGATGTCCCCAAATCACCCAGTATGGATTGACTATGGCCAGATGAAGGTTTGCTTGGGGTGAGGCCTGATAGATAAGCAGCTTCCAGCCCCAGTGATGAGAAAACCCTCTGAGAATAACAGAGTTTAGGGGAACTCACAGGAGCCGAGGGGATGTCCTGAAGGCCTTCTGGAGAGGGTGGCATTGGAGCTGGACCTTCAGGGAAGAGTAAGATTTGTAACAGGACAGTTGGATGCAGAGGGAAAAGCAAAGGAATGGAGACAAGGCAATGCCAGGGGCAGTGATGGCTGCAAGCTGTCCAGCTACTTTGCCAGTGGGGCTCAGGAAGAGCAGCCCAAGGAAAGCAGGAGCCTGGGGCCACATGCAGAGGTCCCTGAAGACCAAACTCAGGCAGGAGCCCAGTTTGGATTTGATTTTGTATGCAGGCAGGAGAAAGAAACTCTTCAATAATTCCTACACATGTTTGCATTTGTTACACAATTTGTAGTGTTCCCCCATTTGATCCTCCAAGCGAATGGCAACACAGCACACTGCAAGACTGGCAGTAGCATCACTGATTTTAGATTCAAGGGCCATGACTTAGAAAGTTCCTGGGAAGACCCGCACAAGCTCCCCAGCTTCAGGACCGCACTGTGGATCTTTCCTGGTCCTTGACAGCACCACCGGGTGTTCAGCTCACAGTGAGGAGCACCAAGGTCCCACTGCGCACAGGATGGACCACTCTGGCCGCCACGGAGGCAAAGGGATATCGGAGAGAGGGTGGGAGAGGTCAGGAGGGCCCCAGTTAGACAGTGTCACATGACCATCTCAACATGAATGAGGCCAAAACAGAGGCAGGGTCCTGCAGGACGAAACCTCGAGCCAATACACAGAATTGCTAGGATTTGACGGCATCCTGGGCAGGGGTGGGAAGTGGAGGGGAGGAAGGAGCTGGCCAACACAAGGCCTACTTTTAGATCTGGGAAACTGAGCACCAACTTTCCTGTTCACAATGAGTGTGGTAAGAAGGAAGAGAAGGAATGAGGGGTCTCTATAGACCGTATTCCAGGATTGACAAACCTATGGCACACATGTTATTTGTTTTTAGACAAAAAGATGTTAATATATAAGCTTTTTTTTTTTCAGAAGTAAAATGTTAGTATGCGGGTTTAACTGCAGCATTGCACCTTGGGATAAATAAGTGGGTTTTGAGCTGCAGTTTGCGCACTTGTCTCTAAAAGGTTCACCATCACTGTGCCGAGACAGCTGGTACGGTAAAGGGCCAGGGTTTGAGAGTCGGATAGCCCCAGGTTCAAATCCTGCTGCTGGCCCTTTTGCCCCGATAGTTTGGGTTGCCTCCTTGTGTGTGCCTTGCACATTAGTACTTTTATTGGTACAGGGTGCTCAAAAGCAAAGCTCTTGATAAGAGAGCAAATTCACTGATGGAGACCATAATGGTCCTACCGCCAAGCATGGGCCCGAGGCTGGCTCACACCAGCAGGCGCTGGTCAAGCCCTGAGCTCATCACACAGCAGGTGCAGGCCACAGTGAGGGTTACTGCTGCCTGGTGCTGGAGCCCCGCTCAGCCGTTCATGCAGGCCACTTCAGAAAGCCCTCCCAAGAGTACTGGGAGTTAGAAACAATCTGCACACTGCTCTGCTGGGCCTGCAGACACCAGGTACAGAACCTCTTTCAGGCTCCAAAAGGCTTTGTGGGGAGCTGAGCTGCACCTTAGGTTGCAGAGCAGAGTGATATAAAGACGAGAGAGGAATTAACATACCAGCAGACTTGGTACCCAGCGCCACGGGCAACCTGCCAGGATTGGGGAGCAGATCTGTCTGTTGGGGTGGGCATCATAGTGGCCTGGGGCTCTGCAGGCCTAGCCCAGACTCTCCTAACTGCAGGCCTCTTTATCTCCAGCCTCCTGCCGCTCCCACTCAGCCAGTCCCACCCCGCCAGGGCCGCACGCCAGCCCCGTGCTGCCGGTCAGCTACCGCCTGTCCCACACGAGGCTGGCCTTCTTCCTGCGAGAGGTGCGGCCCCCGTCACCAGCAGCGTCCAATGGCTCCCTACAACGCTCTGAGCCCTTCGTGGTGTTCCAAACCAAGGAGCTGCCGGTCCTCAACGTGTCCCTGGGACCCTTCAGCACCAGCCAGGTGGTGGCACGCGAGCTCCTGCAGCCGTCTAGCACCCTGGACATCCCCGAGCGCTTGACAGTCAACTGGAAGGTACGCGCCTTCATAGTGCGTGCGCGCGTGCCCGCCTCGCAGCCTGTGGCGCAGGTGCTGTTCTACGTGGCTGGCCGTGACTGGGACGACTTCGGCGTCACCGAGCGGCTGCCCTGTGTCCGCCTGCACGCCTTCCGCGATGCCCGCGAGGTCAAGAGTTCCTGCCGTCTCAGCGGGGGCCTGGCCACCTGTCTGGTGCGCGCTGAGCTGCCCCTGGCCTGGTTCGGGCCCCCAGCGCCCGCTGTGCCACCAAGCGCTCGCCGCAAGTCTCCAGACGGACTGGAGCCCGAGGTAGCTAGCGAGGCCCAGCAGGCAGAACTCTATTACACGCTGCACGCCCCGGACGCGGCTGGCGGTTGTGGGGGCTCGCGGCGGGGCCCCGGACAGGGCATGGGCTCACGGGCAGAGAGCCCCACACAGCACCCGCTGCTGCGCATAGGCAGCATCAGTCTATTCCGCCCACCGCCGCAAAGGACGCTGCAGGAGCACCGGCTGGACGGCAACCTGGTGATCCGCCTGCCGGACCGTCCCCTCAAGCCGGGGGAGGTGCTCAGCATCCTCCTCTACCTGGCCCCCAACTCCTCCTCGCCCTCCACCCCCAGCGTGGAGCACTTCACTCTCAGGTAGGGGTGTGGGTGTTGGTGGTTGGGATCATGGCGAGCTTCCTTTCCAAAGTCAGAGGTCTCCCTGACCCCTTCCCAGGGTCCCAAATGCGTGCCCTCCAACAGCCTAGCTCTCCTGTTAGCCTTAGAGAAGCCCCAGGAGACACTGCCCTCCCTTGAGGCTCTGTGTTCTTACCTGTGGGTCTGCAGTCACGCAAAGGGAGTCGACATAAAGGAGAGTTGGTTTTCCTGTGCTGAGCGTGCAGAATGATGGCATCCGGCTGCAAAGGCACTTAGGCTTAAACGGGTGCAATTCTCCCATTTTACAGATGGGACAGAGGCCCAAGAGATGACATAGAGACCAGCGAGCACCCCTCATCAAAAAGCAGGAATGTGTGCCTGTTGGGCCATTGACCCTGACCCTAGAGTTGGGAGAAAACTTGCCGGGAGTCCTAATTCTTTCTATACCTTGAAAATAACACAGTTCATGAATTCAAAGGTGTCTTCAGTGATGTGCCATCTCCACATCATGCAATGATGTTTTACTGTGGGGATCCGTGGTTTGAATCATGTCAGGGGAGGGGCTCTGAGGACATAAAAAGCCCCCCCCCCCCGCAAATGCCGCCCCAAACAAGCAGCATGGGCCTCCAGCCTCTTTGGGTATTGCTTCTGTTATGGTTTGTGTATAGGTGTCACCCCAAAGCTTCACACAGTCATGGGGTGGCTTCTAAAGTTTGCAATAGATTATTGTGGGTGTGGATGCTGCACCTGCCCTGGAGCAGGTAATCTGCATCACGTTGTAAAAGGGGGAGAGAGGCTGGCTAGCTGCCTAAGCTGCTGCCACTTCCTTTTCTGTCTTGCTCTTTGCTGCCGCCATGAAGGGCTGCCTTCTGCCATATGCCACTCTGCCTTGGAGCCAGCTGAGTATGGACTGAAAACTCCACTGACTGAGCTAAATAAACCTTTCTCTCCTTCATTTGGGGTGTTGGGTATTTGTCTCAGCAACGAGAGAAGAGTAACTGAGACAGCTTCCCTTCTGAGCATTATACATTAAAGAGCCACCGATTCCTGGAAAGAGGCTTACCTGATGCAGTGACTGGTATCTAAACATGAAGGAGTTAGATTACTCATCAATAATCTCAGGCTACATTAGTAGAAGTAGAACAGATAGAATTAGGAAGAAGGCACTAATTATACATGGTTGGGGGCACAGCTGAAGTGCCACCTTGGCCACAGGATGCTACTTGAATGTGTTCAGTGTCCAGAGAAGGGTGCCCAGGCTATGAGGTCATTCCAAATTGTCAAAAAGCGACAGTGGGAGGAAAAGGAAAGAGAGTCAGGGAACACTCCCTCCTTTCTGTAGCTGTTTGAAAAGCTGTCGCCACCAAGATGGAGGGGAGTTGTCCTTTCTCAGTGCAGCTAAAGCTACATCTGGCATAACTCAGCTAAGAGAGGGGAGAGGTTCCTAGTCCTTATAGGCTTTCTGGAAAAGGTGTGGGGTTTGTGCAGAAGCAGTGTCACCAATGCAGGCCACATACGTGGGAGGAGAGGTTGCTGCCTGCTGGGCAGCAGAGTGCTCAGCCGTGTGATACCAGACTCCCAGGAATGAAGTCTGAGATAACTCACCTGCTCCCCTACCCCAACTGCAGCTAGGCTCAGTGCCCAGGCAGGCAGCCTGTGAGTCCCACCCTGACCCTCTGGCTCCTCTTCCACCTGTTTTGTGGCAGGGTGAAGGCCAAGAAGGGCGTGACCCTTCTAGGCACCAAGTCTCGGAGTGGCCAGTGGCACGTGACCTCGGAACTGCTGACTGGGGCGAAGCATTCCACGGCTACTGTAGATGTGGCTTGGGCCCAGGGCACACCCTTGCCCCCCTGGTGAGTCTGCTTCTGAGGAGTGGGTGCCTAGAGGGATCCTCAGTGGAGAAGGCAGTCTTGTGTGTGATCTGAGGTCCAGGCCTGGGCCCGGGTCACCTAGGTGGGCTGGGACAGGCTCAGAGGGCTCAGAGGACAGCTACCAAGGAGGGATGGGGTCCCTATGAAAGGAGCCGGAGCCCCAGGGATGCTCACGGCCCTCATCTTCTGTCCATTTCCTGCCCCTTCCTTCAGGGAAAGCCAGGGTCCCCTGGAGATCCTGCAGCTGGACTTTGAGATGGAAAACTTCACCAGCCAGTCAGTAAAGCGCAGGATCATGTGGCACATTGACTACCGTGGCCATGGTGCCCTGCCTGACCTGGAGAGGGCAGTTACAGAGCTGACAGTCATTCAGCGAGACGTGCAGGCCATTCTGCCCCTGGCCATGGTGAGCAGCTGGTGAGCAGGCCAGCGGATGTCTGTGTCCACGAGCCTGTGGGAAGGTGTGCATGTGCGCTTTGGGAGGGAGGCTGTGCTCTGCATCTCTCACCACACAGAGGAGGACAGCAAGGACAGCAGTGGGAGAAGTCCCTGAGGAAGGGCCTTGCAGTTGAATGTTGAAGGCCATGTTGGAGGAAAGGCTCCTATTGTCAGAAAGGAGCAGGGCACCCTGGGCAGAAGGGGTCTCATGGGCAAAGGACTAGCAGTGGGAATGTGTGTGGTTTGTACAAAGGATTTAAAAAGAATGCAGTGGGTGACAGGCTGGGGTGTTATAGGGAGCATTGCTGGGCACCCACAATGGCCAAGGGTATGCACGCTGTGTCACTATTAAGCCAAGGAGGTTGGAAGATGCTCTAAAGAAGAGGTAAGAGCTAGAAAGAAGTTCTTGTTGGCAGCAGAGTAAGGGACCCTGAGGCCATGGCAGCAGTCCAAGGAAGGGCCTGAGGAGGGGCCTGAGGCTGGGTAGAAGCCTCTCCCTTCACACATGTACCATTGTACCCCATGAGAAAAACATACCTCTGAGAAGTGGCAGCAGCCAGGAACCCTGACCTTCATGGAATTGTTCCAGGAGGGAAGAGGGCAAGAAGCAATCTCCTTCCTCTCTCCTCCATGTAGGATACAGAGATCATCAATACAGCCATCTTGACAGGCCGGACCGTGGCCATCCCTGTCAAGGTCATTGCCATCGAGGTGACCGGTCTGGTCCTAGATGTCTCTGCCCTAGTGGAATGCGAGTCTGACAATGAGGACATCATCAAGGTAGGCTCACTAGAGATGGGGCTTCCAATGAGGGAAGCTTCAGTCCTTCCAAGGAAGCAGACCCCCAGCCAGAGTCCAGGTGGCTCTTGTCAGCTACCCTGAAAGATGACATTCACCTGCCTGCCCTGGACTCCCCTCCCACAGCACATCCCCTGCCTTCCCCTGTACCAAGCTTACACCTCCATTGATCACTGCACTTAGCAGAATCAGGCCTGTTCTAAAGTCTTCTGGCCTCATTGGTTCTGTCTCCCAACCCTACCGCTACTTGTGGTGGGCTTCCTGTAGGCACATGGTAGATCCCAGGGACCACAGTGTTGACAACTTGAACTCAGCCCCAAAAGTCATTACTGAGCTCTGATCCGTGACAGACCTTGGACAAAGGTTATCAGAGGAATAAAAGGAAACCCTCAAAAACTTGGTCCGAACTCAGGCTGCTGAGGACCCATGGGGGAGAAGGAGCTCAGAGAGAAAGCCTCCTGTATCAGCTCAGGACCAAAGCCTGTGAGCTGAGGCCCATGCCCACGCCACCCCCCAGATCCTCCAACTCCTAAACCGTGGTTCCCTCCTCCAGGCTCTGCCCTCCCCCAGGTCTTCCATGGCCCAGTACACAGGACATTTATCTAACTGGATGGCAGTTTGCCATCACCCAAGGAGTCCTCTAGATTTGTTTCTTCCTGTAGCTTTAGATGATGGTCAGAGGCAAGATAGAGTTGGAGTTAGCAGAGAAGGCAGCCATGGGAGAATGTATCTAGCCCTGGTACCTATAGGGTGGGTAAGCTGTGTGCTATACCAGGCTCCAGCAGGACATCTCTTGGACTTCTTCACACACACTGTCTCTCCATGTAACACCTCTGGGGCCCTTGAGGTCTAGGAGGTTGAAGCTCCACATTCATTCCTGTCCTCCAGTGAGTCAGACCAAGGCTCCACACATGGCCTTCTTCCATTGCCACGGAGGTTTTGCTGCTCCAAGCCACAGGGCTATCTGATGCCATAGGTGAGACAAGGCCAAACACACCTGCTCCCAGGAGCCCTCATCCAGGGCCTCCTCTCTACCCAGACTGCCCCAGCCCAGGGATGACTCAGATACCGAAGGGGATTAAGGAGGATTCTACATGGAACTTGTTTCAAATCTCAATGAAGTACACCAGGGCTCTGTGTGGGGTTTGTCAGCATCCTAAATGGAACTCAGCATCCTGCAGATGGAATTCTCTGCCTTCCCAAGTGGGAAATGAGCACTGCTGGCAGGGCTGCTGTCCACACTTCCCTGTACCCACCTGTGAGATGATTCAAGGGGCCAGCAGGAGTTGGGGTGCCTCAGGGGCTCATCTCATGATAAGCTGTCATCCTAGCGCCCCACCCCAGAAGGTGCCAACAACCCACTGGCTGCATGAAAAGATCCTCCTGCAGACTCAAGGCCCTGGCCCATGAACCTTTATAGGCAAACGCCCAAGACACATGTGCACGCAGAAGCCACTGCAGGGTGCCAGGTGTGTGCGTGGGCATGCTTTTACACACAGCCATCTGCATTTGCCCTGGAGTTCTGGCAGTGTCCTTCTCTGAGTGGGCACAGGTCTCCACCATGGTGTACCAGTGGCTTGTGTTGCCAGCCAGAGAAACTCGAGGAATGAAGATTGCTACCCAGGTGGACACATGCTGGAGGCCTTCCACCTGGCCAAGTCCAGGCTCTTGGATCTAGGCTTTCCTCCCCCATTCTTCAGCCTCACCTCTGACTAAGCAGCCCCCTCACCTGGAACTGACCAGTTGCCCATTCTCTTGGGCAGCCATGCTACCAAGACCACAGAGAGGGTGTGGACCTGCCCTTGTCCCTGTCCCTGTCCTGCCCAGACATGCACACTCTGGATTCTACCTGTTTGAGCCCTGGTTCTGGAGCCTAGGCATACCAGGCAGGGGGCCAACCTTGGGAGTCCTTCTCACCCTCCTCCACTCTCCACATGTGGTTTTAGAAGGTCAGAAACAGCCTGGTAAACACATTTGCATATTGGCCCCCTGGCAGGGGCAAAACATCTCCCACCATGGAGCAGGAGGAACCATCTCTGGAGAGCAAGGAGAGGCAGAGATAGAGGTTGGCACCTCCCAGAGGAGTCAGCGCCTTCACCTGCCCCCTCCCATGCAGTCTCATCTGTCTGTCTGTCTGTCTGTCTGTCTGTTTGTCTGTCTGTCTGTCTATCTGTCTCCTTCCCTTCCCCATCCTTACTCTTCTTCTCTCCTTCTCTCTCTCTTTTGCTCTCTCGCCCTCCCTCTCACAGCCTCCTGCCCTTGCTTGGAAGACCCACATGGTAAAATGATCATCCTGCCCCTCCTTCTCCCTAGGTGTCCAGCAGCTGCGACTATGTATTTGTGAGTGGAAAAGAGTCTCAAGGATCCATGAACGCCAGGGTCACCTTCCGCTACGACGTCCTCAGTGCCCCCCTGGAGATGACAGTCTGGGTCCCAAAGCTGCCCCTGCACATCGAACTCTCTGATGCCCGCCTCAGCCAAGTAAAGGGCTGGAGGGTGCCTGTCCTTCCAGACCGGAGGTACCTGTCCTTCCCAGTCTTTTGGGACACCCTCGGTTGGACACAGCCTCAGCATAGCCTGATCTGTACATGTGTATAAGGTCTTAGGAACACACAACCTATGAGTCAGTTGTGCACGTAACAAACTTTGGTTGAACAGCTACTATGTACTGGGCCCTGACAGGTATTTGAGATCCAGGGTGGCTGGCTGTGGCCAGTGCCTGACCCAGCCAAGCCCTCTCCACTAGGAAACCCACTCACACACATGCCACAGAGCACACTGGCAAGTAGGGTGCCCTGCGTGCAGAGCCAAGCAGCACTAAGGAGAAGCCCGCACTCTCCCCAGGAGCAATCAAGGGAGGCATCTTGGAAGAGCTTACTCTTGAGCTACGTCTTAATGGAAACAGTAGCCAGGAAGACAGAGAAAGCAAACAGCCAGGAGAACAAAACCAAGCGGCCGCAGGAGGGGACAAACACCTGTCCACCTGCACCAGCCTGAACACACAGGGGCCAGTTCTTAAGTGCATAAGGACTGCCACACATGACGCATCCCACTGCCTGGCTGGGCTGCGGCTCACACACCCGCGGCCCATCTTGCGGGCATGTTCCTGTGTGTCTAGATGCTCCGCTCACCCACTCTGTGCTGCAGAGAGAAAGCCCTGCAGAAGACAGAAGCAGGAGGAGAGTCAGGTAGCGGGGAGATGGGGTGGGAGAGAGAATCAAGTAGCGGTAGGAGAGCTGGGCAGAGCTCAGTTGCACCTTGCTCTTCAGGAGCAAGCCAGGGCCAGCCAGAGCCTCTTGAGCTCAAATGCACACGCAGCCACCTGGGCATCCTGCTGGTCTGCAGCTTGAGGGTCTGCGCATCAGGGGTAAAGCCTGTGGATCTGCACTGCTGACCCCTGTGGTGATGGGGCTACTGCACTAAATAGTGAGGATGTAGTGCACTCAGACCACCAGCCTGCTTCAAATCCTTTTATTTACCAGCAGTGTGATCTTGAAATACTTACATAACTTCTCTGTGCCTTGCTTTCTTATCTGTAAAGCGGGCAAGATAATACCTGCTAGGATTGTTGTGAGGATTGAATTAGTTAACACAAGGGAAAGAGCTCTCTGTGTGGATGCATACTCTGCTTGGATGATACTAACCAAACACCAGCAAGTTTTATCTCCAAAACATGCCTTCCTCGCCGCAAGTCTCCTGATTTTAGCACCTTGTCCATTTTTCCTGAGCTCAAGTCTTCCCTACCCAAGTACAGATTCCCTGGTGCATAATAGTTTTACCAAAAAGCAAGAAGAGGGAGCCAAGTGGAACCTTCCATGCTGGACTTGGAAATCTCCTCAGTTCCACACCCAAGTTTCACTTACAAATTCTACTGCCACACAACCCTAGGACACAGTTTGGCTAAGTCTGTGGCACTCTACTGCAAGGAGTCCCTACCCACTCCTGTTCAGAGTTTGTATAGTGCCAGGCACATAGAAGAGAAGCATTCTGTTGGGATTATACAGCAGCTGGCCCCACACGTGGGTGATAGGGGTCAAAGGAGGAGCTGCCAATGGGGCTCAGTACCAGAAATTGTGTGTAGCAAGTGCAAGGCCCTGGAGTGCATCCCCAGTGTTGAAAATAAATTCGAAGAAACCCCTGTCCAGGCGAGGGCTAGGCCTCCTGGTGCACCCAGGCTGGAAGGCACAAGCCAGGGGCGCTCTTTGCAGTGCTTCTCTGCCCCAAAGGGAGGAGCCGGCGGGGCAGGGGGTCATAGCCAGGTAGGGGCCGTTCACCCCACCAGCCTTGACCTTGGCACATGCCCACCCCAGGTCAGCCCGGGAGAGCGAAGACGAGGAGGAAGAGGAAGAGGAGCGGCGACAGAGTGCCAGCAGGGGCTGCACCCTGCAGTACCAGCACGCCACCCTGCAGGTCTTCACCCAGTTCCACACGACGTCCTCTGAGGGTACTGACCAAGTGGTCACCATGCTGGGCCCAGACTGGCTGGTGGAGGTCACGGACCTGGTCAGCGACTTCATGCGCGTGGGCGACCCCCGCGTGGCCCACATGGTGGACAGTAGCACGCTGGCCGGCCTGGAGCCAGGCACCACTCCTTTTAAGGTAGGTTTGGGTGTGTCTGAACACCCCCGGGGGGGGGGGGACTCAGCTCTTGAACCAACCCCATGGGTCCCAGGATCAGTTCCTTCCCACCTGTCCTCTACCCAAGATTGCAGCAACCAAGAGCAAACTCTTCTAGCTTCCTCCTTGGTCAGACTCTCACGCAAAGCTTCAGCAGTGTGCATCAACCTTGTGGAGTTCAGCATGCCCCTCCCACCTTGCCCCCAGAACAGGTATGGCCAGGAAGGCAAGTTGGGGACCTAAGACCTTAGCTTTGACATCCCTTTCTCACAACTTGGTGTCTGGGTAGAAGTCATCAAACTAAGAGAGTGTAAATAGTGACCCATGAGCCAGCAGACATATTTGTTTTCTAAAACAATGATCTGACATTTGAAAATTGAGAGATTTGTCATCGTAAAAAGCAGGCTAGATTTTTCAGTTTACCGAAAAGTGAATCTGGCAACATCAGACTTGTAGTCTCAGCCAGTAGCAACAAGCTGGTGCCATCCTGAGGGTCCCCTTTAAGTAAGCGTGGGTTCTCCCACTGGCCACAGTCCCCACCGCTGCCCCTTGTCTCCCTGACACTGAAGTTGATCAGTTGTCATGTATCCCTGGGGTGGCTTCTTTCCTTAAAATCAGCTTACCTCGTACTTGTGTTTCCACCTGGGCCTCTGGCTGTCCTTGACCCCAGGGAACTGGAGGACTCAGAGTCCAAGCCACCCATATGGGACACTCTTCCAGAAGTGCTACAGACTCAAGAAGGGAACCCTGGGAGGGAGAAGCTGTTGTCCTTCTACCCAGGGCGCTCTCTCACCCTCACCCACTGCCCCAGGTGGTGTCCCCGCTGACAGAGGCTGTGCTGGGAGAGACGCTGCTGACAGTGACAGAAGAGAAGGTCAGCATCACACAGCTGCAGGCCCAGGTGGTAGCCAGCTTGGCCCTCTCCCTGCGGCCCAGCCCTGGGAGCAGCCACACCATCCTGGCCACCACAGCTGCACAACAGACCCTCAGCTTCCTCAAGCAGGTAACTGGCTCCCAGCTAACCAGCCAGGTGACCTGAGGTATGCACTGGGGGACTCTGCCTCTCTCTTGTGCTCTGGGTCACTGCTTTAGGACCTCAGGCAATGGATGGTCAGCCTGCCAGCAGAGGCCTGCTCACCCGCCCCACTCACTGCTCTCTGTGCAGACCTGGGCCTGGTCTTACCTCTTCCACCTGCCACCCTGAGCCCTTTCTGAGAGGGTCACCTCCTGGATTCCCAGAGAGCAGCCATCTCTGTCCCACCCCCAGAAAGTGCCCAAGCTCAGCCCAGGAGCTCCAGTCACACGCCATGGCTGAAAGATCAAGGTGGGAGGTGACAGGAGAGAGAACAATGGAGTGAGGACGAGGTGTTGGCACCGGGCCAGGAACCAGGACCCACAATCCTCTGCTCTAGCACTCTGTGCCCAGACTCTGTTTCTCTCTGGGCCCAGCCCCCAAATCTGCAGTGAGGGCGATCCCCAGGTGGTCTCCACTGATGGAGGAGGCAGCTGGGGGCAGGTGTCTCTCACTAGCTTGAGGTTGGTAGAGGAGTTCCCAAGGTCAAGCTTGGACATATGAGGTCTACCTCTGCAGAACCTACCTTCAGTTTCTCTCGGGCTTGTATGAGGTCTAGATGCAGCCTACACCCTGCTCCACACCCTTTCTGCCCCCTTGGGAAGGGAGCATTCCCATCCCCCAGAGGCTTCCTGACTGCCTGTCCCATCTCTGGGGGCACCGCAGGGGCCGGAAGCCTCTCCGGCTCAGGAGGGGATCTAGCCAGCAAGCCCCAGAACAGCCTCTGACTGCTGTCCCCTTCCTCCTCCAGGAAGCCCTTCTGAACCTCTGGCTCTCCTACAGCGACGGCACCACAGCCCCGCTCTCCCTCTACAGTCCCCGGGACTACGGGCTGCTGGTGAGCAGCCTGGACGAGCGGGTGGCCTCCGTGACCCAGGACCGGGCCTTTCCGCTCGTGGTGGCTGAGGCCGAGGGGTCAGGGGAGCTGCTCCGTGCCGAGCTCACTATTGCTGAGAACTGCCAGAAGACCAAGCGCAAGAGCGTGCTGGCCACTACGCCAGTGGGCTTGCGGGTTCACTTTGGGCGGGACGAGGAGGACCCCACCTATGACTACCCGGGCCCCAGCCAGCCGGGGCCTGGCGCGGGGGAGGAGGAAGCCCGAGGAGCTGGTCCACTAGGCACAGCGGTGCCCGCACTGGAGGGCCCCGGCCTGGGCACCTCCAATCCAGCCGTGCCACCCACAGAAGACTTCCTGCCGCTGCCCACCGGCTTCCTACAGATGCCACGGGGTCTGACCGACCTGGAGATCGGCATGTACGCCCTGCTGGGCGTCTTTTGCCTCGCCATCCTGGTCTTCCTCATCAACTGCATCGTCTTTGTGCTTCGATACCGGCACAAGCGCATCCCGCCCGAGGGCCAGACCAGCATGGACCACTCCCACCACTGGGTGTTCCTGGGTAACGGGCAGCCTCTGAGGGTACAAGGTGAGCTCTCCCCTCCGGCTGGCAGCGCACTGGAGACTGTGCCCGCCTGCTGCCACGGTGACCACCACAGCAGCGGCAGCTCACAGACCAGTGTCCAGAGCCAGGTGCACGGCCGGGGCGATGGCTCCTCCGGTGGTTCGGCCCGGGACCAGGCCGAGGACCCTGCCAGCTCACCCACCTCTAAGCGCAAGAGGGTGAAGTTTACCACCTTCACCACGCTGCCCTCGGAGGAGCTGGCCTATGACTCAGTGCCTGCTGGTGAGGAGGATGAGGAGGATGAAGAGGAACTGAGTTGGGCCTGCCCGGATGTGGCGGGCACCACAAGGCCTACTCCACCTCCAGACCTGCACAATTACATGCGTAGAATCAAAGAGATTGCATAGAAGCACCTTCCCGGGTGGTCGGGACGTCCACCACGCAGTCTTCTCCGGGTGAGAATCGGCCAGGACTCCAGCTCACATGGATCCAGGGCCAGCTGATTGAGTTTATATCCCTTGCCCTGCAGCTTTGCTCTGAGCCAGCAGCCACCTCCTGGTCCTGTCAGTCGCCCACCTTGACCCTCTCACGCCCCCTGCCGGTGGAGGTCTGCTTCCTCCCAGGTTTGCAGGAGGAGTGATCCCAGCCTAGCTCTACCCTTCTAGAACCTCTGCCCTGCCTCCAGCATCACCAGCCCCAAGAGCGAGGCTTGGAGGACACCGGGTCTGGGGCGAGGTGGGCCCAAGCTGTGTCCGGCCCTGCCACCCAAGCACCCTGTCTTCCCCCCATGCGGGGCGACCTGGGGGTGTTGTGTCACAGGCTGCACAAAGACTTTTCTCAAACCAATATTCAGGGATTTCCATCCTGCAGGGTGGGAAGATGGCAGCAACCCGCCTTGCCAAGGATATTGCTTCGGACAGATCGTTTGGGGGACAGCTGTGGGAACTGCCGGCATCCAGGAGCCCCCAGGGCCCTGGGGCTGACTCTACAGAGGGGCCTGGTACCAAGGAAGCACCTTCCTGGGCTCTTCCAGGGCTGTGGCAGGTCCCCAGGCAGGAGGAGTCCTCGACTCTGTCTCTGGCCACACTTCAATCCCATGCTGTGGTCCTCAGGAGCAAAGGAAACTGGGTGTCCCTCCTCCACAGCAGGAGGGACACTGGCACGCCTTAACCGCTGGCTGTGCTCACACTGCCTCCCTCGGTGCCACAGGGTGGGCAGCCACCATCTCCCCAAGGTGGAGTCCTTGGCTGGGAGGAGAGGGCACCAGGGAGGGTGAGAGGGACCTGGGGGGCGCTAAAGCTGGAGGGAGCAGGTGCCGCCCTTTCCCTGTCCCATGGCCCCTTTCTCTGGGTTCTACCCACCACTGTGTCAGATTTTTCATAAATAAAGGGAGGCCATCAGACTGGGGGTGAGGGCAGCAGCTCCCAGCAAACAGACAGTACACATGACTGGCTCTGGCTCTTCCTTGCGTGCATGAGCATGTACACACACATGCATGTACACACACGCATGTGCACACATGCACACACACAGTGACTGTGTCCATGCACGCCCTCCCCTCCAGGCAGACCCAGGGAGACTCTCTGGCACTGTGCGGATGCCCACATCCAGGAATGAAGATCGAAGCAACCTGGAAACACGCCCTCGAGTAGATGTGGCTCCTCTGGGAGTCTGGTGTGCCTGGCCCAGAGCAGAGAGGAAAGGACAGACCCTTGGAGCTGAGAGAAGCCTCTCAGGGTGGGAGGGCACCGAAATGTTGGCAGAGGCTTGGTGTGCCTGCCTGAGCCTGCTCACCTCTTGCTCTGTAAATCTGCCTCGCGGCTGAGGCCTCTTCCTGCCACACTCTGAAGGAAGCCTCCTTCTCTCCAAGGCTCGAGGAGAAAGCTTGCCTTCCACAGCAGAGAAGACAGCCAGGTGCGGTGCCCCTCCTGTGGTTGAACAAGCCATATGCTGGGCCATGCACAGGCTGCAACATAGGGAAAGTGGTGAGCTCAGGAGCTCCAGGCAGAGTGGGCAGGAGCCACCAGAGTGGCTGGTCAGCCTTCAGGGTGCAGGACAGTGACCATCTTGGAGAGCAGGAACCACAGTCCATCTCTCTGGGAAGAGACCTCCAACAGACAGGGGCTGCTCTGGCACCACCAGAACATGCCACTGCCTGACCTGAAAGAAGCCTGGCTTCTAACCTCAACCACTCCACCCATCTCGGTAAATGCACTTTGTCCCACTATGGGTTGCTTTGCAAATGAGATGCAGATCTGAAAGAGAGAGCAGAGCTGGCGGTATCTGCCCAGCATGTGCTAGCTCAGCGGCAAGGGGACAGCTGCTGAAAGCTGCAGCCCAGCCACAGGGCTCCTAGTGCACCAGACTTGTGCTCCGTGGCTCCCCCTGGCGGTAAGCTCCTGGAGGCCCCCAGAGGGGCATGGAGGTAGCAGCAACTTCATAAGCCATCGTGCCTACCGCAGTGCCTGGAATTGGCAGGGGATGTTGTTGTTGTTGTTGTTGTTGTTGTTGTTGTTGTTGTTGTTGTTGTTGTTTGGCAGAACCGAGGATTGAACTCAGGCCATTGCACTTGCCAGGCAAGCACTTATTCTACTGAGCTATCTTCCCAGCCCGGCAGGTTCTTGACAAACACAACAGGCCTGTCTTTTAGGAGCCTCCAACCCCCCAGGGAGGATCAGACAGGCTAGTTTCCTGCCATCCAGGATGATCAGACAGCATTGCCCTGGCTTGCTGGAACACAGAGGAGGGGAACATATACTTGGGCTATGTTTGTTAAGAACATAGCCAAGAATGTCAAGGAAGGTAGAGAGTGGGTATACCAAGCAGAGATTGAATCTTTGGCAATAGAAAAAAATACCAACAGCACCCACACAAAGGCAGGGAGGCCAGTGAGAGGGTGGTGGACTCAGGTTCATGCCTTCTCTCTTGTTCCCAGGTACAAGAGAGAAGAAGGACAGGGAGTGGGAGAAGGGTTGAGAGGATGCTGAATGGAGAGGCTGAGGCTCCCCGCAGGGCAGTCTGCACAGAGCTAATGCACGGAGTAGTTCAGTGCTAGATTTGTCAACTGCCTCATCCCCTGTGGAGGTGACAGGAGGGGACATGAGCTACTACTGCACTGCTGAGACCTCCAGGGACCTGCCCTGCACTCATGGAAGTGGGCACCAGGGGAATGGCATCTGGCCTGCCTGCTTCCACCATCCTGGACATGAGGACCCCAAGGAGAGGCACTGTTGACCAAAAGTCACACAGCAGAACAAAGCCAGAGGCGCATGTGCTTCCCTGGGCGACGCCCCCTTCTCCCTGGCCTGCACAGCTCTGCCCACTCAGAAGAATGCAGAAGCAGTTATTACAGTGGCAAGGCCTGACCCTCTCAGAGTCCCAGTGAGCGGAGCAGGCTTTGCAGGAGCGAGGCAGGACATTAAGTCGACAGCCCTTCTGGAATGGCCCTGGCACTGAACTCCTCTTTAAAAATTTGTCTTCAACTCTGAAAATGAATCACAGGATCCTGTGAAGAATAGTTATTGAAAAGAGCTGCTCAGGGAGCCCTGGGGAGCTGGGCCCATGAATCAGCTAGTGAGCAAAATGAGATTTCTCAGCCAGCCACAGAGGGAAGGCAGGGCAGAGGCATGGGAAGCCATAGAGAAGCCGCTGTGGCACGGCCCCACCCGGGCCAGCTCCACTGCCATACAGCCCTCTCTGCACCAGCCCTGATGCTCCTCAGTGCCGGTTTTTGACACATACTGACGGAGCACTTACTATGTACCAGGTACCTGGGTCAGGGACACAGAGCTTAGAGCCAAAATGAGAAAGTTACAAATGCAGTCAATGGGCTAGAGAAGACTTACCTGCAGGGGCTCCTAGGGTCTGATGGTGTAACTGCTGGTGACCTTCCACCAGTACTTCATCAACCGTGAGCTATCAGTTCCCCACTAATTTTTTTAAAAAATGGAAATCACCATGACTAGGCTGCTGGCCTCCCTGAAGAGGTCTTTGGCTCACCACTTGTGTTTCTTCCAAGAGTTTTGGAGGTAAGAATTCCTACTCTTGTGTTGTACATGAAGATATAGGCACAGAGAAGGTAAGGAACTTGCCTCAGTTCTCAAGTTTAGGGATAACCTGGAGGTGGCTCCAAACCCAGCTACTCCTTGCTGGATCCTGAAGCAACTGATGACCTCTGCAAAGGGGACAGGGCGGAGGGACGTCTGTTGGCGGGGGGCAGGGAAGAGTCTCTTAAATGTTGATTGCTGGAGGCAAGGCTACCGCCCTCACTGAAGGCTGCAGTCATGGGCACTGCTGGGGCAGATGGGGGGTTGTGACATCACTGTGGACATGTGGGCTCACCATCGCGTCTGAGGGGCCAATCACATGGCAGAGGGCCTCCTTCTCTTCTGTGTGCTTCATCTTCAGTCCACTGCCGCAGCAGATGGCCATCCCCCGACCAGAGCAGAGAAGCAGCAGGCTCTCCTAACCAAGAGCCACGCTGGCCTGGTCTGGGAGCTGGTGGTACAAGTAAAGATGCCTGGTGCCTGGAGCTGGGAGTGAGGCTGCTCCTGTCCTAAACTCTGGCTGTCCTCTCAATGCCTGGGACCAGCCAGAGAAACTGGGAGGCAGGTGTCTTAGTTACTCTTGTTGCTGGGACAAATGCCCGACACTCAAAATGAGGGAAGGAAAGGTTTTTTTAGCTCACAGTTACTGGAGGTTTCAAGACGCTGGAGGAGAGGCCGGGACGCTGCCGTGTCCAGGATGCCCCTCTCCACATCTCTGAGAAAGCACAGGCTAGCCAGTGTAACTGTTCGCATCTCTCTGGCCCAGCCCCTCAAGCCACTCATTGCTCCTCCAGCCATGTCTGCCCCGTAACTACATGAAGCTTTGGGAGGACAACTCAACACAAACCATAGCAGCAGGGAACATCCCTATCCTTGCTACAGTGGCTCCACGAGATCCAGCAGAGTGCCAAGCATAGGCCAAGTAGCATGTAATGATCATCCGTATTTACTGAGAGGTCACTACCTGCTAGCACTTTAGGGCCATCATTGCACTGACAATCATAATAACCAAGTAAGGCAAATACTGCTGTTGTACCCACTTTACAGATGGCAAAACCATGTTTCAGGGGAGTTGTGTGATTTGCGTCATGCTACATAGCAGAGTCAGGAATCAAAGCCAGGGTCCTTGGGCTCCAAGTCCCAAGTCTTCCCACTGCCCCACACTGCACCCTGCAGGGTGATCAGGAGCTCAGAAACTCACTCTGATATAGCGGAGGAGTCCTTGTCTGGGAATCTGGGGGCTCAATAGGGGTTCCTACGCTGTCACTGACTGGTTGTGTGGCTGGAAGCCTATATGTGCAGCAAGGAATGACCCTCCACTAGGACTTCAGGCCTAATGGTCCTTCTAGTGTCATCTATCTTGACAGGCCTCCAGCCTCAAGTGTGAAGTTCTCATCCCATCCATCCCTTGCGCCCACCCTACCCTGACCCTCCTCCATCTGGCGGGAAGCTGCTGTGGGGGGAATCAGTTAACAGGCTTCAGTGGCCCTCAACTGTCCCCGGCCTCCACCTGCTGCGCCAGTCACTGCTCGAGGTGTCACCAGGCTGAAAGGGGCAGTGTCAAGAAGCAAAGAGCAATGGAAATGTGGGTTGTCCCCCAGCATGTGTCACACAGGCAGATGTCTCAGGCTGATACCATGCTGGGGACTTCTGGCTCTCTGATAGAAGAAGAACGGGCCACATCCTCCAGAGTCTGTCACTCTCTGGGGGACCTAAGACACCTGCCTGCTATACTCAGTCTGACAGAGAAGCTGACCACCCAGAAGAAATGACATCATGCACTCAGAGAAGAACCCATGCAGGTGTCCCATGAGCTATGAGGACAGGGAGTGAGGACGAAGCACAGGTGGAGGGCAGGCACTGAATCTGGGAAGGCAGCCTGGAGGAGGGGTGCAGTGGCCTGGAAGGGCTTGTGGGAGTGTGCTATCAAGGCAGCAGGATGGACTGTGGTTAGCCCGCATCCCCTGGGTGGGTGGGAGAAGGGAGGAGGGCAGGGGGAGGACAGGGAAAGGGAAGCGGGAAGGAGGGGAGGAAAAGGACCAGGGAGGGGAGGGAGAGGGAAGGGGGAGGGAGGGAAAGGGGAAGGGAGGGGAAAAGAAGAAGAAGAGGAGAGGGAGGGCAGAGGAGGGAGGAGGAGGGGG